GCTCAGTGGGTTAAAGCCTCTGCCTTCGGCTCGGGTCATGATCCCAGGGTCCTGGGATCAAGCCCCACATCGGGCTCTCTGCTCGGCGGGGAGCCTGCTTCCCCTTCTCTCTCTGCCTGCCTCTCTGCCTACTTGTGATTTCTGTCTGTCCAAAAAAAAAAAAAAAAAAAGTTAAAAATAAATAAATAAATAAATAATAGTGTCATTTCCAGTTCCCCAATTATTAAAAAAAAAGAAAAAAGAAAAAAAAGAAAACTAGCTGTGTGACAGCAGCAAGATTAAGGAGGTCTTATTCTCTCACAACTTATTTAGTGTTGGGGCACCTGGGTGGCTCAGTCAGTTGGGCCTCTGTCTTCAGCTTAGTTCACGATCCCAGCGTCCTGGGATTGAGCCCCATGTCCTGCTCCCAGCTCAGCATGAAGTCTGCTTCTTCCCCTCGCCCTCCCTTTGCCCCTCCCCCTCGCTCATGCTCTCTTTCACTCCCTCAAAAATAAATAAAATCTTTAAAAAAAAAATACCCAAGCACCTTATTTACTGTATTTCTGTTGTGTTAATGTTTGAAAAGGTGGAGGGGTTAGCGCAGGTGAAAGTCATACTCTCCCAGCCCCCTCTATACATACTTGTCCTACATCTTCTGCTCTAGGAGGGGAAGGACCACATCTGCTTATCCACAGTTGCACTCAGCTCCCAGCCCAATCCTAGCACTTATCAGAGGCTCAGTAAATATTTGTTGAATGAATAAATGAAAGTGCCTGCAGTCCAGAAAGTCTCAACCTGGGATCACTGGGCACGTTCCATTCTGGGGAATGAAGAAGAATTTGGTTTTGCTCAAAGAAAAAAAGGAAGGCGGGCACCCAGCTGGCTCAGTCAGTACAGCAAGTAGCTCTTGATCTCGGCGTCATGAGTTCAAGCCCCACACCAGGCTTAGAGCTTACTTAAAATAAAATAAATTTTTAAAAAATGAAGGCCCATCCATAAGGACAATTCCCCCGTCTTTTTTTTTTTTTTAAAGATTTTATTTATTTATTTGACAGACAGAGATCACAAGTAGGCTGAGAGGCAGGCAGAGAGAGAAAGAGGAGAAAGCAGGCTCCCTGCTGAGCAGACAGCCCGATGAGGGGCTCGATCCCAGGATCCTGGGATCATGACCTGAGCCGAAGGCAGAGGCTTTAACCCACCGAGCCACCCAGGCGCCCCTCCCCCGTCTTTTTGATAAGTGAATTTGGGCTTGGAGAACCCAGGGAGAGACAGTCTGCTAAAGCGAACCCAATTACCACCCAGGAACATATGTCGCCCTGAGGCCTTTGCTGCCATAACAACACTGTGTAACTTTAACTACAGCCCTGGAGGGCTTTGGCCCTGTCAAATATGGAAAAGGATGTCTTTATCACAAGCAGCCTTTGTGCACAGACTGACTTCCCTAGGGAGCTTAGATCAGGGAAGGGAGGTAGATAAGTGCAGGAAGGGGGGAGGTGAAGGGCAGGAGAGGGAGAATTGCTATTGAATCAGGATTAGGGTGATTTTTTTTTTTAAGCAATTCTCAAAATGTAGTTATTTGACTGTTTAGTTTTGGTGGTTATTTATAACCCCAGCTGCAGAGGCGGGGAGCTGTGCCTGAGCCTGCTGGGATCTGTCCTATGTCTTCCCCGGGGGTGGGGTTGGGGGTGGGTGGTAGATAAGGGTGATGGAGAAACTAAATTCACAAGGGGGCCAAGAAGGTAAGAGAAGTTCCAGGCCACCTCCAAGAAGAGTGAGACAGAAGTGACCCTTAGTGACTGTGCTGACTCCATGTTTAAGGCAGCTGTGAATGGAAAGATTTGAATATGAATTACGGTCCCATCAGCAACCTCTGAGGGTCTCCCAAAGGGCCAGAGACTAGGCCAGCGCTTCTGTTGAGAAGTCACGAGATTGGCCTGGCTATGCTAGCACCTCCCAAGGGCAAGGCAGTCTTCTCCACCTCATAGGTGGATGGATAGATAGGACAGTGGTCTGCACACAAAGTAACTACCATCTCTAACCCCTCCTGGGCACATCCCTGGTCAAAAACAGGCTTCAAGGAGAGAGGGTGGCTGGTTCTGGGCAAGTCTTTTTTTTTTTTTTTTTTTTTTTTTTTTTAAGATTTTTATCCATTTACTCGACAGGCAGAGATCACAAGTAGGCAGAGAGGCAGGCAGAGAGAGAGGGGGGAGCAGGCTCCCTGAGCAGAGAGCCCGATGCGGGGCTCGATCCCAGGACCCCGGGATCATGACCTGAGCCGAAGGCAGAGGCTTAACCCACTGAGCCACCCAGGTGGGTTCTGGGCAAGTCTTACCTAACCAGCCAACACCTGGCAGTGGCCACTGCATTTACTGAGCCCTTGAAGAGGACAGGCGGCCAGGGTGAAGCTGGAGACGGGGTTGGGGGGGGTAATTCGGCCAGGCAAGGCTCCCAACCTCCAGGAGCTCCCAGACCTTTGAAGCAAACAATAAACAACTCCACTTTGCATTTGAAATACCAAACGTACCATTTTACTAGCAAAGGGAGCATCTTATTTTATTTTATTTCATTTTTTAAGGATTTTATTTATTTGACAGAGAGACACAGTGAGAGAGGGAACACAAGCAAGGAGAGTGGGAGAGGGAGAAGCAGGCTCCCCGCTGAGCAGGGAGCCTGATGCGGGGCTTGATCCCAACACCCTGGGATCATGACCTGAGCCCAAGGCAGATGCTTAATGACTGAGCCACCCGGGCACCCCAAGGGGAGCATTTTAAAGGAAACTGAGGGATCGTTTAGGGAGCTTACAAATGGGACTGAAGAGACAAGATACAGATACAAGAAAGACAAGACAGCCCCACGCCCCCTGCCCGGTTCAGTTCCTCTTCAACTCTGGATAAGGTTATTGTCTGTTACAGAGGGATTCTCACTTGTCTCCCTGCCCCTCTGATGAGTCCCCCTCACAGCTTCTAGAAAGAGATCTCTAAGTGCTAGTGTGATCTTGGGACTACTCTGCTTAAAGGCCTTCAGAGATGTCCCATCACCTCCAGTCCAGGCTCCTCAGCAGAGCTTTGCCAAAACCATTCCTGCCTCTTCTCTGGCAAACCCCCCAACTCCACCCTGCCCTCAGTCAGTCACTGCCGCATACTGTGCTGCTCTGTCCCTCTGCACTTTCGTGCACACTGCTGGCTCCCTTTGCACTGAAAGCCCCTCTTCTGCTTGCCTGCTGGCAAAGTTGTCTGTCCTATGAAACCCCATTCTTCTTTCACCTATTCTAGAAACCCTTTCCTTTACCCTCCAGACAAAACACTCTACTTCCTCCTCTGTACCACGTCTGACCCTTGCTCATCCTTCTATTTTTCCACAGTATTTGGGGACCATGAGATTACTGGCTTGGGGAGACATGGTGTTTTGCCCCTATTTGGTGTGGCCCAAAACCTGAGATAGAATTCCTGGGCTTATCACTCCATGTTTCTTGAGCTGAGGTGAGGTTGAACAGACAAAAGCAAACAATCGCTAGACCTGGTAAAGATATATTCACTAACAGTAGGATGTTAGCCATGGCTACGGTGACTGAACTATAAATATCACTAACAACAGCCATTTACAAAGTATTTACTGCACCAGGGACTGTGCTAAATGCTTTACGACAGCTGTCTCCTTGAATCCTTACAATAACCTGGGAAGCAGCTGTCAGTGTCCCCATTTCACGGATAGCAAAACTGAGGCACGAATTAAAAAACCTGTCGGAGAGCAATGCAGACAGAAAGTGGCAGAGCTGAAAGTCAGTTCCCGATCTGACATAGGAGCCCTGGACTGGGTACTAGTAGAGCTATGACTGTACTTTTTTTTTTAAATTAAGATTTACCTATCCATTTCAGAGAGAGCTCAAGAGAGAGAACGAGTGGCGGGGGCGGGTGGGGGGGGCAGAAGGAGAGAATCTTCATGCAGACTCCCTGCTGAGCTCAGAGTTTGACGTGGTAGGCTTTATCCTGGGATCCACCAGATCCTGACCTGAGCTGAAACTAAGAGTCAGACACTTAGCCTTCTAAGATGCCAAGGCGCCCCAATCAGGAATAGCTTTCTGAAGAAAGTAAATGTTCAAGAAAGACGTATCCAGGCAGGAAAAAAAGCCTGTGTGAAAGTGTAAAGGCAGGAGACACAGTGGAGCTGAGCAGCCTGTGAAATCTGGTGGTGAGGCTGGGCCCGGGCAACTAGCCAAGAAACTTTGAAACCAACATCAGTTCCTGCTTCAGGAGCTAATTGCGCCATGATGAAAATGATCCTTAAAGTAAAGATTATATTTGATTCAGATGAAGAAAGGAAGGAAAAAAAAAAAGCTTTTAGGGTTCCCTCTTCCCCATTCTAAATATACCTAGCTGTTCTACTTTCCTCTTAAGTACACGTTTTCCTTTTGATCATCTCTCTATCCTATTGATGTTAGTGTTTTTTCATTTTTCTTCCAGAGTGCACACTTTCCAAGGACAAGAACCATGTCTAAATGAAACTGTAAATCCTTCAGCATCAGCTGCAGTGTTTGAGAATTCAGTGTAAGCGATTAATGCTGAACATCTGTAATGCTGGTATTTGTATGATGAATGGTTAAGTCAGGATAGGATTTTTTTTTTTTTTAAGATATTTATTTATTTATTTGACAGAGAGAGAGAGAGATCACAAGTAGGTAGAGCGGCTGGCGGCATAGGCAGTGGGGGGGAAGCAGGCTCCCCGCTGAGCAGAGAGCCCAATTCCGGGCTTGATCCCAAGACCCTGAGATCATGACCTGAACCAAAGGCAGAGGCTCAATCCACTGAGCCACCCAGGTGCCCCAATAAGATCTTATTCTAAAAGACTAATTGCCACGGAGGGATATTTCATCATCTTTGAGTGCTATCCATTCAGAGACTGTGGAACGGTAAACATGTTCTGATTGACTGGCAAGCATTTAGTGCGGGTGTAGCATGGTCTGGGCACACTATTAAGGATGACACAGAAAACTGAGACAGGCTTTTAATACAAGATCTTCTTACCCTAGTCTGGGAGCCAGAGCATCCACGACTGACCTCAGAACACACCAGGAAGTGCAAAATAACAGTAATAGTGGGAAATTAAATGCTGAAGAGATACAAGAGGAAGAAACGTGAGCCCTTTTCCAACAAGTTCTTATGTGCAGTTCAACCTTAGGTAGGTTATTCAGAGGTATTTATATGAAACACTGAAAGCTAAATACTAAATACTGAAAAGCTGCAGGTCTTACCACTAACCCAGAATATCCCAGACAACGGCAGTGCTAAGGGTCTGGAACTTGAACTCTTCAGAGTCCTCTGTTTTTCTCATCAATCAGATGTTTATTTTCTGCTGTTTTGTTCTTTAGCTTGGCTGGTAGGGGGAAACTGGGGTCCAGGATTCTAACTTAATGACTCTGAAAGCATTTCCTCCAGGGAGGTTAAATCCTCAACGCCTGCTCTCCACTTCCCAGCTTTTTAAAAATGGCTTTTTTAGCCTGACATCCTTGACCAGCTTTTCCTTCCTCTCACAACCAACCCCATTATTATTATTGTTGTTATTATTTAAATACCCATCGCCTTTTTTAAAAGCCAGCTTCGCTAAAAATATTCCTTCCTCTTCTTCCCTCCCCCAACTCCCGACTCAAGCATTTTGATTTCCAGAGATCCCTTGGGCTAAATGGAGTTCACGGCTTCTCCGACTCTGGTACCGCGCCGGCACCCACCCCCACTCCCGCGGGCCACTCAGGGCTCTCAAACCCAGACAGAACGGGGGAAGGAGGTGGGCGCTCACCGTTGAGTGAAACTGGGGATTCTTTGGAGCTACAGCTTCTGGAGAATGGTTTTACCTCTTTCCGCGACGTGAACGGCTAACTTACTTGCTGTTCGCTAAGGGCAAGGACAATGTCTCCTCTACCAGACAACGAACTTCCTGATGATGGACGCTACCCTTTAGTTCCTTTTACAAGCCCCATTCCCACCACTTTGAGATACAGAATGGCTTTCAAGATACAATTTCTTGTGCAAAATATCCCTTCTCAACTTTGAGTTTATACGATAAACAGAAATGTCCTTTAGCCAATTAGGCAACGAAGGGGTTAAACCTCAGCCACCTGATGGATTCTGGGGGTTTCCTTCCTCGACTTCAGAAATTAAAACGACCGGGAAGGGAAATTTTGCCCAAGGTAAAAATGAGAACGGCTAACTTCAATTGTCAGGCTTCAGCCCCAAACAAGAATGGCTGCCCACGTCCACAAAAGGTGCCAATCCCCTAACTAAAAATGGCTGGCCCGGATTTCTACAACTGTGCTACTCTCTGCCCAATTCCAAAATGGCGCTCACTAGCCTCACCAGGAGGAGCGAACCTCCCAGCATCCTCTCTGGCCCTCAACGTCAGGTGACGCGAGCCCCAGCCGGAAGTGAAGGAAAAAGCGCCTCAGCCCGCGGCGCCTGCGCAGAAGGGTCTAGACGCTGTGAAGCAGGAGGCACTTGGGATCGTCCGCAGGATTGGGACTGCTACAGAGGCCGCCACGGAGCCCGCCGGAGCCACCGTTCCTACTGCTGCTGCTGCCGCTGCCCGAGTCGGAACTGTCGGGCCGCAGCCGCCGGCAATGCCGCGAAGGAAGGTGAGAGGAACGGGACAGAAGGGATGGCGGGTGTCTAAGGACAGTCGATTGAGCAACGTGACGCAGTTGGCCACGCCTCACAGTGGTTGGGTTCCAACTTCCCGCTCCCCCGAACCTAGCTCAGCAGCCTTCTCTTCTGTCCATACCCAACAGAAAAATGTGGGCCCAATCCTGGCCTCGGCCTATGCTTGTAACTATTCCCGCCCTCTGCTTGCCTGGCTCGGAGGCGTTCTTCTCGTTAATTGGTCGCTGGAACGCCTAGAAGCGTATTGATTGGCTGGTGGCACCGCCCATTTGGGTCCAACGGTCACCTCCCCGCGTGCGGGGGTGGTGTCGGGGCCGGGCCCTATGGTTCTGCGACTGGCTGTGGAGAACGATCCCTCCTCTCTTGATTGGTTAGGCTTGGCAGTCTGTCCCGTGGGGGCGCGGTGTAGCAGTAGCGCCATTGGGTGGCACGAATCCCCGCCCTTCCGGCCGGTGATGCTGATAGGTGCATAGGCGGGGTTTTGGAGCATCCTTCCTTTCCAGGCGGGGGGGCACAACAAAGCAGAGGACTGGGTGATTGGGAACCAGCGCCCACTCCCTAGGGATCCCACTCAGGCCTGTTGCATCTAAGCTGTAATTTTTCCTTATTTGCCCAATTGGACAGCGGACAGGAAATGCGTTCCAAAAGGCTAAAACTTTCCAGAGTTAGGTAGGATTTGTAAGGTCACCTAGGGACACCCCCATTCCTTTTCTTTGCAGCTGAACAAACAGAGACGTAATGGAGTGCCCCAAGCCATTCCCATTAGGCAATAATGGAGCCAGGACTACAGAGCAAATCTAATTCAATTCAACACATGTTTATTAACTACTCGCTACCGTGCTAGTTGCTGGAGATTCACGAATTAATTAGACATGATCCCTGGCTTAAGGAGATCACAGTCAGATGGGGAAAACAGACATATAAATAACTAGAAGGAACTAGTAAATTCTCTACTCAGGGGTATATGCTAAGTATTGTGGGAGGGAAGTGAGGGAGCAATTAAGTCTGCTGTGGAGTAAGATGGGAAGTAGATGGTGAAAGCTAGAGAGGAGAGCTGAATTCCAGAGTCAGACCAGGAGGGAATGGTCAGAGACTTGAGTATCTGGGTAATGGACTAGACGACCTTTAAGACTCACTCTTATCCTGTGGAATTTCTGTGACTCTGGAGCCTCTGCTCATTTCTGGGCAGATTACGCTTGAAATATTTGGAAAGCTGCGTGGTATTCTTGCTCATTTCTGCAGAAATCTTTCTTTTCACAGAGGTTTTCAAACATTTGTACCTTTTGTTTTCTCCTAAAATGGCCTATACTCATAGGCAGTATTTATGTTAAGGCTCACCAAATGCTGGAATAGTACTGGTGCCTTGGAATAGGTCCATAGTCCCTTTTCTGCAGTTCCCAAATACAAAGAGCTTTTGAAAATGTGTTTTTAGTAACTTACTTGGTTGGCAAAACCTGTCTTAAACTATCCTGAGCCTACTTATAGTTTCTGTGTGTCTCATTGGGTGATTGTTTATATATTCTGCTGTAGAAATATTAATGTGTTTGTTGATGGGTGTTTCTTGCGGGGTATATGCAAAATGTTCCCTCTCCAAAAAGTTACGAATTTCAGACACAACTGGCCCTAAGGGTTTTGAATAAAAAAACCCAGGGGGCTTCTAGCTTGAAGTTTTGTAGGGTTTTCTAAGCAAATACTCTTCCCCTTTCTGGCTTAGGGAAGGGTATAGTGTTAATGTTCAGTCGTTAAAAGTTGTCTGTATGACTAATCATGCTTCAGGAAGCTAATAATTGACAAATAATTATTAATTGAAGAGATGATAAAAATCTCTGTTTTTGAATATCTACAAGTCTTCATGTGCAAGCTACTTTTTTTTTTTAAAGCACTTTTGGTACATGTGGAGAAACTTCATAGGTAGATAACATAAGAAAGAAGAATTTTAGTCTTTTTCTTTAAGTTCTCTTGGGATCAGAGTTGTGGATCATGATATTTTGAAATAGTATACGGTTTAAAAAAACATGATGGCCTTTTGTGGAAACTTTGAACAAAAGCTACTCTAAAGTTAAAAGGAGACTAGCACTGATATTTTTCCTACCACCATGGACTTTAAGTGCCTAGTACTGTCGGCCAGACCATTTTGAATTGATACTTTTATTTCCAGTTTGTAGTGCTGACCGATAAATGGACTTGTGTCAGAATTAGTGTTAATGAAGTAAGAATGCTCTCTTTCATTCATTTAAGAAAAGTGCATTATTTGTAGGTTGTTCCGTTTAAATGCCTTAAGTAAAGGGAATTTGGCGATGGAATCCTTCCTTCGTGTTTTCGGGATCATGGTTCATTTTATTTCCAGTGTTAACACAAACCCACAGAAAAAATGCTTCTGTGCTAATGTCTGGATCTATGGTGTTACAGAGGAATGCAGGCAGTAGTTCAGATGGAACCGAAGATTCCGATTTTTCTACAGATCTCGAGCACACAGACAGTTCAGAGAGTGATGGCACATCCCGGCGATCTGCCCGAGTTACTCGCTCTTCAGCCCGGCTGAGCCAGAGTTCCCAAGGTATAAGAATTCATTCTTCCTGACCATACCTCGCAGCCTGCTCACTGGTCATCATATTATTGTGTTAATATGGAAACTGGTCCCTTGGCTTGGTGTAGGTGACAGAATCTGGTAAAATGCAGAGTGAATGACTGCAGAAGTATCAGGTCTTTAAAAAATGGTTCTGTTGGGGGTGTTGTCTAATCTGTAGACCCAAAGGAACTATGTCTGATGTAATGGCTGTGTGACACATGGATGTCTTAAGTGGCTTCACTTTTTTTTGGACTACAGCTTTTCCATCAATAAAATGGGAATGCCATCTCTTCACTTCCTGTTGGAATGGTTTAGACTTAGGGCCTTAGAATAGTCTCTTGAACTTGTTTTTGGAGGAGGTTCAGTACTTCTCAATACTTCCAAAATTTATATTTAATTCTGTAATGTAGTCAGATGCAATTATTAGATATAAATAGTTACACCCAACTGTCAGTTGTTAAATACCTAGAATTTCACTTTGGTTGTACAGAATGGAGAATCTCTGCGTTGGAAGGTAGTTTGAAGGCTCTCTTGTGCAATTGAGTTGTCTCGGCTTAGATTTGGAGGGTACCCCTGAATCCCTCCTGGTTCTGCTCTGGGATTCCCCGGGGAGGACAGAAGGTTGCAGTTAATGCACAAAACTGGTGATCAATAGGTGATAACAGATTAGGGGGGTGGGAGGGGGACTGTAATAGGCTCGAGCACTTAAATAATGCCCGTTTGGTCACTAATTTGGTCGCTTCATGAGCACATTGCAAAATGAGAGAAAAACCGGTTTTTCAAGCAAGAAAATGGGAACATTCTCCACAGCTGTTCTTGATTTTATTTTTGAATTTAACGTTTCAGTTGAAGTCACGCTGTTGTCTCTTGAGTCTTAGTTTGTGTTTATTTTTTGAGCACAGTGGGAATAGCGATAAATGACTGCTGTAATTCAGATACTATGCTGTGTACTGGAATGCCGTGATAGAAAAATCAGAGTTCTGCCTGTAAGGTGCTCACAGTTCAGTGCCAGATACAGATATGTCAGTCGATCATGGTCGTGCATTGTGGTAAGGGCTCTGAGAGGTTGGCGTAGCCTATTTTGGAAGCTCAGAGATGGGGCTGGTAATTTGGGACAGGTCTCCAAGGTGGATCCTAAAGGATCTAGTAGGACTTAACAAGTTGAAAGATGGGGAAATGTTATTCTAGGCAGAGGGAACAGTATATGCAAAGGAAGGGTTATAATATTCTTACAGAGTGTAATTGGTCATTGCCCCGGACACCTAAAAGTTGTAAATATTCAAAACAGCTAGGAAATACCTGGGCCCTGGGTCTCTTCCTAGTTGTTATACGTCATAACTGGGGACTTGCACAACTCCCAGGGGCATCGTTCACAATGTAGTCTATGTAAGGTGGCCTTCTCAAAAGCAAAATGTAGGCTCTATTATGAATTGAGCCTTCTCGAGGTATGCAAGCTGATAGCCTAGCTGTGTGTTGACTTCTTTTACTGAAAAGCTTGAGAATTTTAGTTTTGTTCTTAGGAGAACCTGTGAGATTTACATATCACCTTAAAGATCTTTTGTCATCTAAAATATGGTTTAATCTCAGCTTTGAATCTTTCTCTAGTTCTTTTTTTTTTTTTTTAAGATTTTATTTATTTATCTGACAGAGAGAGACACAGCGACAGAGGGAACACAAGCAGTGGGAGTGGCAGAGTGAGAAGCAGGCTCTCCACTGA